CAGAATTGTTACTTAGGGACCACAGAAACGTTACTTAGGGACACAGAATTGTTACTTAGGGACACAGAATTGTTACTGAGGGACACAGAATTGTTACTGAGGGACACAGAATTGTTACTTAGGGACACAGAAACGTTACTTAGGGACACAGAATTGTTACTCAGGGACACAGAAATTGTTACTCAGGGACAGACACAGAATTGTTACTGAGGGACACAGAATTGTTACTGAGGGACACAGAATTGTTACTGAGGGCCACAGAATTGTTACTTAGGGCCACAGAATTGTTACTTAGGGACACAGAATTGTTACTTAGGGACACAGAATTGTTACTTAGGGACAGGACACAGAATTGTTACTGAGGGACACAGAAATGTTACTTAGGGACACAGAATTGTTACTGAGGGACACAGAATTGTTACTTAGGGACACAGAATTGTTACTTAGGGGACACAGAATTGTTACTTAGGGACACAGAATTGTTACTCAGGGACAGACACAGAATTGTTACTGAGGGACACACAGAATTGTTACTGAGGGACACAGAATTGTTACTGAGGGACACAGAATTTTACTTAGGGACACAGAATTGTTACTTAGGGGACACAGAATTGTTACTTAGGGCAGACAGAATTGTTACTTAGGGCCACAGAATTGTTACTTAGGGACACACAGAATTGTTACTTAGGGACACAGAAACTTGTACTTAGTTTGTTACTTAGGGACACAGAATTGTTACTCAGGGACAGACACAGAATTGTTACAGGGACACAGAATTGTTACTGAGGGACACAGAACCATGTTACTTAGGGCCACACAGAATTGTTACTCAGGGACACAGAATTGTTACTCAGGGACAGACACAGAATTGTTACTCAGGGACAGACACAGAATTGTTACTGAGGGACACAGAATTGTTACTGAGGGACACAGAATTGTTACTCAGAGGGACACAGAATTGTTACTCAGGGACACAGAATTGTTACTGAGGGACACAGAATTGTTACTGAGGGACACAGAATTGTTACTCAGGGACAGACACAGAATTGTTACTCAGGGACAGACACAGAATTGTTACTGAGGGACACAGAATTGTTACTGAGGGACACAGAATTGTTACTTAGGGACACAGAAAACGTTTACTCAGGGACACAGAATTGTTACTCAGGGACAGACACAGAATTGTTACTCAGGGACAGACACAGAATTGTTACTGAGGGACACAGAATTGTTACTGAGGGACACAGAATTGTTACTGAGGGCCACAGAACTGTTACTTAGGGCCACAGAAACGTTACTCAGGGACACAGAATTGTTACTCAGGGACAGACACAGAATTTGTTACTCAGGGACACACAGAATTGTTACTCAGGGACACAGAATCGTTACTAATTAAAGAGTATGTCAGACAACATGCAGAGGAGTGGCAGAGGAGGCAATGTTTTAGGCGAGCAGACGTGGCAGCAGAGGAAGGGGTCGAGGCAGCACTATTCGCAGCCAGAGGCCAGTGCTCCCGGTGTCATCCAGCGGTCGTGTCTCCACCGACAACCCTGCCGTCATCGATTGGTTGGCTCGGTCGTCTTCCTCTTCCCAGGTCACCTCTGACACCTACAGCCAACGGTCGGTGGGTACGTCAGACACAACCGTTAGTTGGCATGGCCCGGGAGCAAGCCCACTGAAATCACGTGTCCTCTACCTGCCCCTGTCCTTTGGTGTTCCCTCACCAAGCGAAGTATCGCATGCTGTGGGCTCAGCCCCACTGTACAGTGAGGAAGAGCTAACAGAGGGCGGTCAGGAACGGGGGGAGACATCCGCCTCTTCAGCAGCCAGGCGAAGAAGTAGTGGCGAGGAGAGTGGCTCGGTAGCCGGTCTAGAGACAGGTCTGTCTCCTGACCCACACGCAGCCGAGGGGGCTAGTAGTGAGGCGGAGACCCTAATTGATGATGATGAGGCTGATCGCACTTGGCAGCCTCGTCGTCATCAGGCTATTGCTTCCGCATCATCAGGAGAAGAGGGTGGCAGCTTGGCAGCGAGCAAAACAGTCGGTGGGTTGCCCAGGAGGCAGCAGGGTCGCAGCAGTGTCAGTGGAGGCAAACGGCCACGGAGTACAGCACCAGCTCCACTGCAGCCTACCACCACGGCCAGTAGTGGTGCCGGTGTGCACGGAGGAAGTAGCAGCAGTCAGCCAGTGAGGAGTATCGGGGGCAAAGTTTCCTACTCGGCGGTGTGGCAATTTTTTGTCAAGCCGCCCGAGGAAGTAAACGTAGCCGTATGTCGACTATGTGGCCAGAAAGTCAAGCGTGGCCAGGGGGCCCATGTTGGGACTACAGCGTTGCGGCAGCATATGCAGCGTCGCCATTTGGTGGCCTGGGAAAACCGTGATAAAGATACGGCGGTTCTGCCTGCCCCAGCAGCCCCCGCTCCATCACCCGCTCCGTTACTTGCTCCGTCACCCGACGTCAATCGCCCTCTATCAGCCAGTCAAGGCTCCAACACCTCTGCTGAGGGGAGTTGTCGCTCGTTGCCATCTTCCGCTCGTTCAGATGCTCCTTCTCCTGCTACTCCTCTTCACGGATTCCGTCAGCAGTCTTTCTTGGAATCCGTTTCCAAGAGACAACAGTTTGCGAGCACGCACCCGACGGTGCAAAAGCTGAACGTCCTCCTCTGTCCAAGTTGCTGGTGCTGCAGTCCCCCCCCTTTCCAAGTGGTGGACTCAGCACCTTTCCGAGAAATGATGGCTTGTGCCGCGCCGCGGTGGAGAGTGCCAAGCCGTCATTTCTTCGCCAAAAAGGCAGTGCCAGCCCTGCATTCACATGTAGAAGAGATGGTGGGGCCAGTCTTTGAGCATGTCGGTCTCTGCCAAAGTGCACGGCAGCGCCGACGTGTGGAGCTGTAACTACGGTCAGGGACAGTACATGTCATTTACGGCCCACTGGGTGAACGTGGTGCCGTCACAGCCGCACCAGCAACTTGGACAGGTCACGCCGCTTTTGCCTCCACGTTTGCACGTCCTTGGTCCACAAAAGATGTCCGCCTCTACCACCTCTTCTTCCGCCGTGTCCTCAGCCGCCACCCCCCGTGCCAAGTCCCCATTACCCGACCGGCATATCACATGTGCAGGGCGCAACGGTGTCACGCTGTGCTGCACCTGGTATGCCTTGGCGAACGTAGTCACACAGGGGAGGAACTTCTCAGTGTAATGAACAGAGAAATCGACAGATGGCTGTCTCCGCGCAAACTGAAAATCGGAACCATGTTGACCGACAACGGAAAGAACATGGTGTCTGCTCTGCGTCAAGGAAGGTTGTGCCATGCGCCATGCATGGCTCACGTGTTCAATCTGGTTGTCAAGCGGTTCCTAAAATCCACCATCCCACTGCAAGACATCCTTAAAATGTCACGTAAACTTTGCATGCATTTCAGCCATTCCTACACCGCAAAGCACACCCTCCTTGAGCTGCAGCGGCAGAACGGAATTCCACAGCATCGCCTGATCTGCGACGTTGCAACAAGGTGGAATTCAACCCTACACATATGTTAGACCGCCTTTACGAACAGCGAAAGGCCATCACCGATTTCCTGATGTTACAAGCGGATAAAGGTACTCCCCTGTGTAACTTCGATGTCAGCCATTGGCAGCTCATGCGTGACACCTGCCGCTTGCTCAGGCCCTTTGAGGAGGCCACGCTATTTCGTGAGTCGGCAGGACTATGGGATGAACGACGTCATTCCTCTGTTGCACGTCCTGGAACAAATGCTGTTAACAATGGCTGGTCAGGGTGCGGTAGACGTGGCGCACAGATCTCAACGCCACATGACCCCTGTGGGGGCAGGACAGGAAGAAGAGGAGGAGGTAGAGGAGGACATTTGTGCTCAGGAATTATTGAGTGAAATGGGTGGTTTTTCCACTCAGCGGACAGGAGTGGAGGAGCAGGAGCATCTGGTAGAGGAGGAGGAGAGAGAGGACAGAGGACCCAGACGCACCGTGGCAGTATGCTGTGGAGATGGAGGCAGGGAGTCCCTCGCATTCCTTGGCACAAATGGCCCATAGCATGCTCGGTTGCTTGCGTAGCGACAGCCGAATAATAACCATCAGACAGAGGGATGACTTTTGGCTGTCCACCTTGTTGGACCCTCGCTACCGTTCAAAAATGGTGGCCTTTTTCACACCTGCTGAGAGGGAGGCCAAAATAACGTACTATAAAAACCACCTATGTAGTCAGTTGGTCTCTGCCTTTGTGCGCCAACGTCCATCCTCAGACACTGTGGGCCCTGTGCGCTCGCGTTCCGCTGCCATGGCAGCAGGGGAGGGGTGGGGTGGTAGGAGCAGTGGCAGCTCCACCAGCAGCGGCTGCCTCAGTCTGCAGTCGATGATGAGTAGCTTTCTTCACCAGCGCAGTGAGGAAACTACTAACCAGCCGCAGCAGCAGCAGCATCAGGTGGACCTGGAGCAGGACCTCAAACAACAGGCTTGGGCCTACTTGGACAGCACCCTGCCAACCGAGGTAGACAATCCCCTTGACTACTGGGCAACGAAACTTGACCTTTGGCCCCAACTAGCTGAATTTGCCCTTGAAAGGCTGCTGTCATGCCCGGCCAGTAGCGTGGCATCGGAGCGCGTGTTTAGTGCGGCAGGAGGTATTGTAACTCCGCGGAGGACACGACTGTCCACCCAAAGTGTGGAGAGACTCACGTTTGTGAAAATGAATCAGGCGTGGATTAGTCTGGATTTCAAACCACCAGTTCCTGACACAACTGACTAAATCCGCCATGAATCATGCCCCAAACATGTGCCACTTTCAGGTCTCCTCACACTGCTGGTGTGTTCCATTTTTTGTCATAGGGTGCTGGCAGATTACGGGCCTCCCATAGCTGCTGCCAGGCCCCCTAATCTGCCATGGGCCCCTATACCGCCTCCTCATGCTGCTGCCAGGTCCAGAGTCTCTCATGGGTCCCTGTACGGCCTCCCATTGCTGCTGTCTCCATCGCCACACTCTGCCATGTGCCACTTTCAGGTCTCCTCACACTGCTGGTGTGTTCAATTTTTTGTCATAGGGTGCTGGCAGATTACGGGCCTCCCATAGCTGCTGCCAGGCCCCTAATCTGCCATGGGCCCCTGTACCGCCTCCTCATGCTGCTGCCAGGTCCAGAGTCTCTCATGGGTCCCTGTACGGCCTCCCATTGCTGCTGTGTCTCCATCGCCACACTCTGCCATGTGCCACTTTTCAGGTCTCCTCACACTGCTGGTGTGTTCCATTTTTTTGTCATAGGGTGCTGGCAGATTACGGGCCTCCCATAGCTGCTGCCAGGCCCATAAATCTGCCATGGGCCCCTGTACCGCCTCCTCATGCTGCTGCCAGGTCCAGAGTCTCTCATGGGTCCCTGTACGGCCTCCCATTGCTGCTGTCTCCATCGCCACACTCTGCCATGTGCCACTTTCAGGTCTCCTCACACACTGCTGGTGTGTTCATTTTTTGTCATAGGGTGCTGGCAGATTACGGCCTCCCATTGCTGCTGTCAGGCCCGTAATCTGCCACACCTGTACCGCCTCCTCATGCTGCTGCCACTTTCAGGTCTCTCATGGGTCCCCTCACACTGCTGGTGTGTTCCATTTTTTGTCATAGGGTGCTGGCAGATTACGGGCCTCCCATTTCAGCTGCTGCCAGGCCCCTAATCTGCCATGGGCCCCCGTACCGACTCCTCATGCTGCTGCCAGGCCCGTAATCTGTCATGGGCCCCTGTTGTCGCTTGTTGGCATATTCCGCTCGTTCAGATGCTCCTTCTCCTGCACTCCTCTGCACGGATTCCGTCTGCCAGTCTTTCTTGGAATCCGTCAAGAGACAACAGTTTGCGAGCACGCACCCGACGGTGCAGAAGCTGAACGTCCCTCCTGTCCAAGTTGCTGCTGCCAGGCTCGTAATCTGGGCCCCTGTACCGCCTCCTCATGCTGCTGCCAGGTCCAGAGTGTGTCATGGGGCCCCCGTACCGACTCCTCAAGCTGCTGCTGGCCCGTAATCTGTCATGGGCCCCTGTACCGCCTCCTCATGCTGCTGCCAGGTCCAGAGTGTGTCATGGGTCCCTGTACGGCCTCCCATTGCTGCTGTCTCCATCGCCACACTCTGCCATGTGCCACTTTCAGGTCTCCTCACACTGCTGGTGGTTTTCCATTTTTGTCATAGGGTGCTGTATGGCCTCCCATTGCTGCTGTATGGCCTCCACCGCCACACTGTGGCTCCACACTCTGGTTTTGGCCCCGTGACTGCCCAAATGAGTGAAGTGTGCGGTGATTCTAAGATCGACGGCACTCATCTGCATGTCATACTGACTGTCAGTATTATTTCTCTTCCCCAGCAGACTCCAAGGGCATTTAAATTAAAGGTACAGTGTTCTGCACTAATATAAAGGCTCTCTGAAGCCTAGAAACACCCTTTTATAAGTTAAATTCGCAGCGAATATATTCGACTCGAATCGAAAATTTTTCCACGAATTCGCCGAATCAGTCGAATCGAATTTTTGAATACTTCGCTCATCTCTAATAGAAACCAATCAGCTTCCAGGTTTCATTGCCAAAGCTTCATTGAACAAGCTGAGGTTAGAAGCTGATTGGTTTCTATGCAGAAGGGAGTCTGATTTTTGGACTCTCCAGCTTTAGTAAATAAACCCCATGGGGTCTAATGTCTAAAGACCCCTAATGTCTGCATAAAGAGTACCTGTCATCTGCCCAGTGCTATCACATTGGGGTTTAATAACCCCTTGTGATAGCGATCAAGTAAAAAATAAACAAAAGAAAAAAGTAAAAATAAAACTATAACGACGTGTAATAAAAAAAATACTATAACCCCATTTTCCTTGCACATATGCGCAAATGCAAACTCAATTCCAGGATACACACATGTATGTAAAATGAGGTAACACCACATGTGTGACATTGTGCCCTGAACATCACAGTGAGTGCAATAATTCTAGTACAAGAGCTCCTGTTAACTCTAAATTAATGAGCTGTAAAGGATTTTAAAGCGTCAGCTATGGAGATTTTTTTGGGTACCATAGTTTTTTGCAATATCACGGGCAAAAAAACGAACATTTTGCATGTCTGGTGTCTATTTACTCGACACAACCTCATCTTTTATATCTTACCAAAAAAAAGAGTATTATATTGTGTGTGTTTGCACTAAAATTAATTTTGTTATATTTTTTCCTAAAAGTTTGCATTTAAAAAAAGTTGACAAATATCGTGTGACATAAAAATTTACAACTATCATCTGTTTATTCTACAGGGCCTCTGCTTTCAAGAAATATATAATGTTCTAAGTTTAAGTAATTTAATTGCCAAAAATGAAGATTTTTACATGTGTAAAGCTGGTAAAAAATCAATCCTTCTTTTTAGGAATAATTACATTAACTTGACTGCAACATATGTCAAACTGACTGGCCTGTGGCGTCTTTCTTATTGTCCTTCTTGTGGATAGGTACAATATTAGCTGTCCACCAGGAATTCCTGTTAGAAAAGGTTGATTAAGAAGATCAGTTAATAGTCCAGCAACTATGCCTCAAAGTTCTCTTAGGACTCTGGAATGTATATCATCAGGATCCATTGCTTTATTAAACTTTAACTAAGTCAGGTCCTTTGTTACAGTAGCTCTGTCTCTAGAAATGCTGAAAATGAACTTTCAATGCTAGTACCATTGTCCTCAGTTACATTTACACACTGTGGTGCTGCTGACACAATCCCTGCCAAGCGGCTCTCAAAATGACCTGCTTTACTTTTAGTGGGTCCATTTCCTGGATATTGATTTTGACCTCTATTTTGACCTCTGTAAACCCTCTGTGTGAAGAACTCAACTCCCATACTGCTGCTTTATAAAAAAAAAAAAAAAAACCCAGAATCTTTGTTACTAAATTGATAGCATTTATTTACCTGCATGCAAAAAACTGGTAAAAGAAGAAACTTTTTAAGCTTGAGAACATTGAGAACAAAACAATTTTGGCTAATTTCAACTGATGAAAGAAGTGATTACAATTCTAAATGAAAGCATAATTTTTGAAGCAATGAACATTACTACTTGATGAAACCTCAGCTTTAGACCAGTATAGTATATGGCATTCTACAAAATATTGATACATTTATTTTAATAAACGACACCTAGATTTCTTTGTGTAGATATAGTTTGTTTGAACTATCTTGCTTTGCATGTAATGAGTGTATGATGTATACATGAAAACTCTGCACCCCAATTAGGGCATAGTCCATATGCAAATTCAGTTTTGTAGCCTTGTATTACAAAAACAAAGCACTCCATCGTGTAAATATATCCAGGGTCAAACCACAATTGCCAGAAATTTCTTCAGAGTCAATGAAAAAGTCCCATAATGGAGCCTCACTTAGGACCTCATGTACATAAGTTCATGATGGGCCATGACATATACATGTCAATATGGCTGGAAGACTCCAAGGGAAGAAGTGCCTTATAGTTGCCTGGGTTTACCATAGCATATATCCTTGTATATGGCATATAACGCTGCACATACATTACTTCCCAATTAGCAATTAGATCCATTAAGGAATTATAACAGAGATCAAACTGAATGTGATGTGGCTCATAATCGCCTGATAAAGGAGACACCAGATTAGTGAGAAATAGGTCAAAGGCATACAGCTCCCAAGTGGATAGAAAAATTAGCTTTAGCCATCCATACAGATCTTAGGAGGTCCAGTCCTTTCCAGGAGACAATTATAGTCTACATTTATGTGTCCAAGAAGTCCATGGTCTCATCGATAGGTGGAGGTATGGGGGAGAGGCACCCCAAAAGCTGGTATTGAGGAGGGACAGGGGTGGAAACCTGACCAGTATTGCTCATTATGCCAGCTGTATCAGAGGTTAATGTGTGCTAATGGGGCCAATGTATTTAAAAAAAACTTAAAATGGTTGCCATTGGAGCCAAAATGGCATGACATCACAAATGCACACTGGTGCAATGACATCACCTTGCACGTCATGACTAGAGATGAGCGAATCGAACATGGCGAAGTGGAATTCTTTTCGAATATTGGGAAATATTCGATTCGCGCCGAATCCGAAAATTAGCCAACTTCGGATGCACGAATCGAATTTTCCCAAAAATGGCGGCGACATGTGTGGCGACGGAGCGGGATCTCTGGGAAGGCGTGCAGACAAGGCGCGCTGACCCATAATGCATTCATTCATGACATGTGATCGCATTAGCCAATCAGCAGCCAGCCAGCCAGCACTGTGTAATGGTGTGGAGCTATAAATTGAGGCCATCTTACAATTCTCCATTAGCCCATCCGGTCATTCAAGAGAGACAGACCTGTCTGTATTAGGGACAGAGTTAGGGCCAGAGAGACTTTAGGGCCACAGAATCGTTACTTAGGGACACAGAATCGTTACTTAGGGACACAGAATCGTTACTCAGGGACACAGAATTGTTACTCAGGGACATAGAATTGTTACTCAGGGACAGACACAGAATTGTTGCTGAGGGACACAGAATTGTTACTGAGGGACACAGAATTGTTACTGAGGGACACAGAATTGTTACTCAGGGGACACAGAATTGTTTACTCAGGGACAGACACAGAATTGTTACTGAGGGACACAGAATTGTTACTGAGGGACACAGAATTGTTACTGAGGGACACAGAATTGTTACTCAGGGACACAGAATTGTTACTCAGGGACACAGAATTGTTACTCAGGGAAAGACACAGAATTGTTACTGAGGGACACAGAATTGTTACTGAGGGACACAGAATTGTTACTCAGGGACAGACACAGAATTGTTACTGAGGGACACAGAATTGTTACTGAGGGACACAGAATTGTTACTCAGGGGCACAGAATTGTTACTCAGGGACACAGAATTGTTACTCAGGGACAGACACAGAATTGTTACTGAGGTACACAGAATTGTTACTGAGGGACACAGAATTGTTACTGAGGGACACAGAATTGTTACTCAGGGACAGACACAGAATTGTTACTCAGGGACACAGAATTGTTACTCAGGGACACAGAATTGTTACTGAGGGACACAGAATTGTTACTCAGGGACAGACACAGAATTGTTACTGAGGGACACAGAATTGTTACTGAGGGACACAGAATTGTTACTGAGGGACACATAATTGTTACTCAGGGGACACAGAATTGTTACTCGGGGACACAGAATTGTTACTGAGGGACACAGAATTGTTACTCAGGACACAGAATTGTTACTGAGGGACACAGAATTGTTACACTGAGGGACACAGAATTGTTACTCAGGGACAGACACAGAATTGTTACTCAGGACACAGAACTGTTACTCAGGGACACAGAATTGTTACTGAGGGACACAGAATTGTTACTCCCCTCCCACTCAGGGACAGACACAGAATTGTTACTCAGGGACAGACACAGAATTGTTACTGAGGGACACAGAATTGTTACTGAGGGACACAGAATTGTTACTCAGAGACAGACACATAATTGTTACTCAGGGACACAGAATTGTTTTACTCAGGGACACAGAATTGTTACTGAGGGACACAGAATTGTTACTCAGGGACAGACACAGAATTGTTACTCAGGGACAGACACAGAATTGTTACTGAGGGACACAGAATTGTTACTGAGGGACACATAATTGTTACTCAGGGACACAGAATTGTTACTCAAGGACAGACACAGAATTGTTACTGAGGACACAGAATTGTTTACTGAGGGACACAGAATTGTTACTCAAGGACACAGAATTGTTACTCAGGGACACAGAATTGTTACTGAGGGACACAGAATTGTTACTCATTGACACAGAATTGTCACTCAGGTACACAGAATTGTTACTCAGGGACACAGAATTGTTACTCAGGGACAAGATTGTTACTGAGGGACACAGAATTGTTACTCAGGGACAGACACAGAATTGTTACTCAGGGACACAGAATTGTTACTCAGGGACACAGAATTGTTACTGAGGGACACAGAATCGTTACTGAGGGACACAGAATCGTTACTCAGGGACACAGAATTGTTACTCAGGGACACAGAATTGTTACTCAGGGACACAGAATCGTTACTGAGGGACACAGAATCGTTACTGAGTGACACAGAATTGTTACTCAGGGACACAGAATTGTTACTCAGGGACACAGAATCATTGAATAAAGAGTATGTCAGACAACACGCAGAGGAGTGGCAGAGGAGGCAATGTTTCAGGAGCGAGCAGACGTGGCAGCAGAGGAAGGGTCGAGGGCAGAGCACTAGTCGCAGCCAGAGGCCAGTGCTCCCGGTGTCATCCAGCGGTCGTGTCTCCACCGACAACCCTGCCGTCATCGATTGGTTGCTCGGTCGTTCTTCCTCTTCCCAGGTCACCTCTGACACCTACAGCCAACGGTCGGTGGGTACGTCAGACACAACCGTTAGTGGGCATGGCCCGGAGCAAGCCCACTGAAATCACGTGTCCTCTACCTGCCCCAGTCCTTTGGTGTTCCCTCACCAAGCGAAGTATCGCATGCTGTGGGCTCAGCCCCACTGTACAGTGAGGAAGAGCTAACAGAGGGCGGTCAGGAACGGGGGGTCATCCCTGCCAACGGGGGGCGAGGAGAGTGGCTCGTAGCCGGTCTAGAGAGCAGGAACTGTCTCCTGAGCACACGCAGCCAGGGGGGGCTAGTAAGAGAGGCGGAGACCCCTAATTGGATGGATGATGAGGCTGATCGCACTTGAGTCGTCGGTCTGCCACGGCCTAATCTGCCAATGGGCCCCCGTACCGACTCCTCATGCTGCTCCTGAGGCCCGTAACGCAGTCATGAGGGGTGACCCCCTGTACCGCCTCCTCATGCGGAGACCCTAATTCCATGAGTTGTGTCCATTGACGGCCTCCCATTGCTTTTCTCCATCGCCACACTCTGCCTCCACTTTCAGTGTCTCCATCACTGACTAGATCGTGCCCGTTATTGCATTGGGCCCCCGTAGCGACACTCCTGCATGTTGCCAGGCCCGTAATTGTCATGGGCCCCTGTACTCGCTCTCAGCTGCTGTCAGGTCTGTGTCATGGGTCCCTGTACGGCTCCCATTGATGCTTTCTCCATCGCCACACTCTGCCATGTCCATTCAGGTCTCTCACACTGGTGGTGGGTTCCATTTTTGTCATAGGTGATGGCAGATTACGGGCCTCCCATTTGATGCTGCCAGGCCAGTAATCTGCCATGGGCCCCCCGTACCGACTCCTCATGCTGCTGCCAGGCCCATAATCTGTCATTGGCCCCTGTACCGCCTCCTCATGCTGCTGCCAGGTCCAGAGTGTGTCATGGGTCCCTGTACGGCCTCCCATTGCTGCTGTCTCCATCGCCACACTCTGCCATGTGCCACTTTCAGGTCTCCTCACACTGCTGGTGGGTTCTCACATTTTGTCATAGGGTGCTGGCAGATTACGGGGCCTCCCATTGCTTGCTGCTGGGCCAGGCCGTAATCTGTCATGGGCCCCTGTACCGCCTCCTCATGCTGCTGCCAGGTCCAGAGTGTGTCATGGGTCACTGTACGGCCTCCCATTGCTGCTGTCTCCATCGCCACACTCTGCCATGTGCCACTTTCAGGTCTCCTCACACTGCTGGTGGGTTCCATTTTGTTCATAGGGTGCTGGCAGATTTACGGGCCTCCCATTGCTGCTGCCAGGCCCCGTAATCTGCCATGGGCCCCCGTACCACACTCCTCATGCTGCTGCCAGGTCCAGAGTGTCTCATGGGTCCCTGTACGGCCCTCCCATTGCTGCTGTCTCCATCGCCACACTCTGCCATGGTGCCACTTTCAGGTCTCCTCACACTGCTGGTGGGTTCCATTTTGTCATAGGGTGCTGGCAGATTACGGGCCTCCCATTGCTGCTGCCAGGCCCGTAATCTGCCATGGGCCCCCGTACCACCTCCTCATGCTGCTTCGCCAGGTCCAGAGTGTCTCATGGGTCCCTGTACGGCCTCCCATTGCTGCTGTCTCCATCGCCACACTCTGCCATGTGCCACTTTCAGGTCTCCTCACACTGCTGGTGGGTTCCATTTTGTCATAGGGTGCTGGCAGATTATGGGCCTCCCATTGCTGCTGCCAGGCCCGTAATCTGCCATGGGCCCCCGTACCGACTCCTCATGCTGCTTGCCAGGTCCAGAGTGTGTCATGGGTCCCTGTACGGCCTCCCATTGCTGCTGTCTCCATCGCCACACTCTGCCATGTGCCACTTTCAGGTCTCCTCACACTGCTGGTGGGTTCCATTTTGTCATAGGGTGCTGGCAGATTACGGGCCTCCCATTGCTGCTGCCAGGCCCGTAATCTGCCATGGGCCCCCGTACCGACTCCTCATGCTGCTGCCAGGCCCGTAATCTGTCATGGGCCCCTGTACCGCCTCCTCATGCTGCTGCCAGGTCCAGAGTGTCTCATGGGTCCCTGTACGGCCTCCCATTGCTGCTGTCTCCATCGCCACACTCTGCCATGTGCCACTTTCAGGTCTCCTCACACTGCTGGTGGGTTCCATTTTGTCATAGGGTGCTGGCAGATTATGGGCCTCCCATTGCTGTTGCCAGGCCCGTAATCTGCCATGGGCCCCCGTACCGCCTCCTCATGCTGCTGCCAGGTCCAGAGTGTCTCATAGGTCCCTGTACGGCCTCCCATTGCTGCTGTCTCCATCGCCACACTCTGCCATGTGCCACTTTCAGGTCTCCTCACACTGCTGGTGGGTTCCATTTTGTCATAGGGTGCTGGCAGATTACGGGCCTCCCATTGCTGCTGCCAGGCCCGTAATCTGCCATGGGCCCCCGTACCGCCTCCTTATGCTGCTGCCAGGTCCAGAGTGTCTCATGGGTCCCTGTACGGCCTCCCATTGCTGCTGTCTCCATCGCCACACTCTGCCATGTGCCACTTTCAGGTCTCCTCACACTGCTGGTGGGTTCCATTTTGTTATAGGGTGCTGTATGGCCTCCCATTGCTGCTGCCTCCACCGCCACACTGTGGCTCCACACTCTGGTTTTGGCCCCGTGACTGCCCAAATGAGTGAAGTGTGCGGTGATTCTAAGATCGACGGCACTCATCTGCATGTCATACTGACTGACAGTATTATTTCTCTTCCCCAGCAGACTCCAAGGGCATTTAAATTAAAGGTACAGTGTTCTGCACTAATATAAAGGCTCTCTGAAGCCTAGAAACACACCCTTTTTATAAGTTAAATTTGCAGCGAATATATTCGACTCGAATCGAATTTATTCCGCGAATTCGCCGAATCAGCCGAATCGAATTTTTGAATACTTCGCTCATCTCTAGTCATGACATCATGGTGCACACGGCACAATAATGTCACCACACATGTGCAATGGACTCACTGGTGGCCATGACACCATTGTATACATACAAAATAGTAAGGTAACACAATGACCCCAAATTTCAACAGCAAATCCTCTGTGAAAATGATAGACTCATCTAATAATGAAAAATGCAATATATAGGTAAAAGTTAACTGATAAATCAATGCAAAATTGATATAAAAATTTGCAACAATTTAATGTGTCGATAATGCAATGTAAATTAAATAAACACTAACTTAAGGCACTCAGGAGAGGATAAACCTGAAATGGCCAGGCAGCCATAAACACGAATTAACCTAAAAAAGGCACAAAGGACAGACTATCATTGAGTCTTGGGGGACTAGTTGCCCCCAGTTGCCAAATCCATTTAGTTTCCCTTTTGAGAATAATGTTATCACAATTACCTCCTCTGGGGTTAGGTTTTACAACCTCCAACACCCAGCACTTCAGTGACATGTTGTCTCTTTTATGATTAAGGCACACATGTCTTGCTACGGATGCTCTTAGATGGTAGGTAGAGATGTCTTATCCATGTATTTTCTGGATAGTATAACATTGGTATAAAAGTATTTAGACATTTTATTGAATTCAGTCCAGTATATTATAGATTTCAGTTGATTGTA